CGAATGTTAACACGCAACTTCAGCAATTATCCACCGGGAGCTTGCGGATTGCGATGCATCCGCCTTTGTGATGAAGTGACTTACGAACCGGATAGCTAATAGGCGTAATCAGAGATGGGAACAGTCTTGCTTGATGTGGTCTGTAGACTGGAAGTTCTGGCACTGTTTAGTCTTTAGTTCCAACACCAAACAGGTCTCTGGATCACAGCCTTGAGGTCATCGATCTGTTGCTGTTTTCTCTGTAGTTGCTCCCTTTGTTTTTCCATGAGATACTGCAGGGCTCCTAACCCCCTTTGACTTTGACCTCATGCCTCTCTCTGATGCTCATCCTGGCCTTTTCCAAGCCCCTCAATAGCTTGATTCCATGCATCAAAGAAGCTCAGGTCTGGCAATTTGTTTTTCAGGCAACACAATTCTCTTGCTCCTAAGGCTTTCATCCCTCATTGCCTCTGTGAGCTTTCCCTTCAATGTCTTATCCCTTAAAGCATTGAAGGAGGTGTCAAGGTAGGCATAAAACAATTTCACCAGTTTGAGCAAAAAACTCAAGGAGATCTTCACCCTGGAACTGGCAATACAAAAAGTATCACCTCTTAGCTTTGGAGTTTTTCATGGTGAAGATGACAAGTAAAAGCTTTATGGTAGCATCATGCAAAAATATCTCTTTTGTAAGTATGTGTAGTTCTGAAAAGAACAGGAGGGTACTCTCATTTTGGACAGTATGCTGTGTCTGTCCATAGTAGCGATTCCAAGTGTGAAGTGGTTTATATGGTGTCTGGAGGCAGAGAGGTGTTGAGAGGATACTAACTCTGGATCCTACCCCACGATACACAAGTGGATCATGGGATGCTAGATGATCAGTGAGGTGTGTCAGCCTGAGGGAAAGGATGGCAAGGAGGGTTGCCAAGGGTAAAGGGGACCATAGGCTGAAACATGTCCTAGGGTGTAACTGATATTGAAATGGAAATCTTGGGAAACTATGTCGTGCTGGAGGATTTCAGTGGCTTTCCCTGATGCAACAAGGGTATCAACGTTCATTTGATGCTGATGATGAGCTCGCCTTGGCTCCAGTTGATCTGGTGGTCTTCAGCATGGAAGTACTCGAATTCTCCTTTCTTGCAATGGGCTTTGCGTTCATTGAATCTGGTAGGGAGGTCACTGCCTGTCTCACTAATCTACACTTTACCATAGGCAGAGGATCTTGTAAACTCCTGGCTTGCCAGTATGTCTTGGGTTAGGCTGGTCCTTGTAGAAGATCAGCAGGTTCTGCATCTTCAGGGGCACTGTATGGTACACTTAAATATCAGGCTTCTTGAGGATACACTGGATGTCAAGTACTGCCAATGTAAGTGACGGTAATAAAACTAGGGGCCCTAACTAGTTGGCTTTGGGTACAGGTGACCCTTCTGTTGGGGGTGGATCTTGGGTCTTGCACTTGATTTAGCTTGACTCGTATCCATTCTAATGCAGCGCTGTGGTGATATGACAGAGATCTTGAGTGAGATGTTCCTTTTCACGGATATTGTATGCCCTATTAACAATGGCCTGATTGACAGAAGACTGATCTTGGGGTGATGGAGGAATCTGTGTGGATGGCTTTGCGGTAGACACTGTGGGTAAGACTAATGTCCTGCTTTCTGGATACTTCAGCATCAAGAAATAACATGTTGCCATCCCTTTCTTGTTCCATGGTGAACTGGATACTACTGTAAAGCCTATTGAGGTGTTCCAGGAAGGGTTGGAGGTTGTCCTGCCCATGCTGCCAGATAAAAAAGGTGTCATCTACATACCGGAGCCTAATCTTGGGTCTGTGGTTTGCTGAGGCAAAGACATTCTGTTCACATTCTGCAATGAAAGTGTTGATCAGAACTGGGGATATAGGGGATCTCGTGGAGGTTCTAGCCATTTGTTCATACAGTTTATCCCACCAGCAGAGATTAGATGATATGACACAAGTGAGGAACAAGTCATGAAGCTGGTCTGGTTGAGATTGGTGTAGTCCTTGATGGTGGGATATGCGTGAAGTCTGCCTTGGTGATGGTAGTGGCATCAGAGGTGGAACATATTGATGAAACGGGAGAGAATATTGTGACAGGATTTTTCCATATTTAGTGTGTTTCAATTCCTTTGCATGCTTCACCTGTTTTTGTATTGTAAAGTCTTATTCATTAGTTTGACTCTAAATATGACCATGCGACAGGTGGTCAGACTCTTCCAAGTAAACCTCATGAATAATTATTTACATATAACCACAGGCCACGGTACTGTCTTCTGGTCCATGTGGCTCATCTTGTCACATCATCATTCTGATGGTAGCGTAGTCCATGCACATGTATTTTCCACTTGTGCCACTGTTTGACCACCAAGTTCTCAGCCTATATTCAGAAAGTTTCTTTGAGGATTTCGGGTGAGTTTGTATTTCATTCATGAGAAGTCATCATGCCAAGTCAATTATTTTGCATTTCCCTTTATGCATGTGCAGAACTCTTACTCTCAGTGCTGTTTGCTATGCACAGTTTTGAGACAGAATTAACCTTAGTGCTATATAATTATATGAATAATCTCAACTCTTAGTTTTAGTTTATCGCTTAAAAGACTTGTACCGATGATATCGATACTGTACAGCTAGTGCTAAGTAGCTATATTGCATATCCATACTGAGACAATATGTTGTCACTGCCGCATCTCTCTGCCCTGGGTGAGACAGCCATGCTTTCTAAGTTTTAGTACAGTGTTTAAAAACACCAGGCAGGAAGCTTGATTATAGGCACCTGTTTCTTGCTCATTAGTACATGTATGTATTAGTCTTTTCAACTGCAGTGTTGGACACTGCAGCATTGGCCAGTGAATTGTTTATTTAGGGAGAGGCAGTTGAGCCCGGCACAAGATCTTGTGTGGTTTAAGCATAGATACCCAAGGTGATTAAGTTTGGGGATTTTGTATTCTCATGTGCCAGTGCTGTACTTTTGATTTTTTGCTTCTTTCTTCTTTGTTTCTTTGTAGCTAGTGTGAACAAACCTTTTTTTATTATACATTCTGAGTGAATAAATACATATCATGATTTCTCTTGAAAAAACTGAGCACTACAAACACTCTGACAGTCAAATTATTGAATGCACTAGATATGGAATATCTTGGGTACCGCAATTCACTTGGTGCCATCTTTGTCACATTACAAATCACTTTTACCTCTTTGTAGTATTTTAAGACAATTTTATTCTGATTTTTTATTCCCAATGCATTTTATAATTATTCGATTTAATTGTACATGTTTGTTTCTTATCATTTTAATATTTGTGGGGATTGACCTGTCCCTATCCTTATTTACTTGTGTATATTGTACTGTATAGTACTTTTTAATTAATTTCACTACTGTATAATTGAGTACATTGTATCTGTGATGTTAATGACCCTATTTTTATTTATTTTAACTTAATTTATTTCCCAGGGCCCCATGGAAGACCAAAATTATATGTGAATGGGTCTCCCTGGTAAATCAAAGATAATAATACTAATAATATATTGTAGCCACTGGAAAAGAACATTTTGCCATACAACATCACAGATGAACATGATGTCGTCCGGCTGGAGAGTGAGGCCTTGGATGAGGTTTGTGAACTGGTCGGAGTTCTTGATGTGAAATTCGGTATTGCCCAACAAGGGAAGAAGTAATCAAGTTGAAAGGAATTTTGTCATTCAGGCCTTAATTCCTTTTTCATCTTCTGTTTCTGATGGACATGTGACTGTATTTTAATCCTTTCTGGTGGAGTCACCATAAGTGGTCAGCCTTCAACATCGACAAAAACAAGGACAATAACATGCAGTGGCAACACCATCCTCCATACCATTGCCAACATTCACAAGGCAACTCATAAGCTGAATACACTCATGATCTGGAACTAAATAAATCCCCAATGTGCTCAAAATGAACTGGACTTTAAGATTCAGCTGCTCTATGCTGAAAAAGCTGCATTAAGCGGTATAGTCCCCAGGGAGCTGAGATGGTATTTGGAATGTTTCATGGGCCCGGCCCAATGAGCAGGGATGACAAAATGGAAACACAATATAAAAACCTGCTATTATTATTATTATTATTATGCCTTCTTCCTAAGTCACAGTTCCTGAAATGAAATACCTTTCTGCTAGGATAACTACCCAAGTGCTTGTTGCTGCCTAGACTGCTTTCAAGACGCATGGGGTTGCAAGAGTTTTGGTTTTGGTAAGCGTTTACAGTGGTAACACTTATTCAGACTTACACAAAGACTATTTTGAAAGGTATATGACTTGCAGGCTTGACTTGCAGACCTTCTCTGTGTGTTCTATAGCTCCAATGATGTAACAGTGTACCGTATGTTGACTTTGACTCTGAAGTTAACCATGGTATGCATGGATGGTTCCATTTTGAATAAGTATGCACCAGATCACTCATATATATTTGACAGGCAACCTCTAGATCTGCTGGTTAAGTACATCAATGGGCCCACGGGCGATCACTTATACTGTTCGTTCAGCACTGCACTTTGCTTCCATATTGCACGTACATGTACATATTCCGATGCTTCATTTTTCCCGCCAGCAGTTCATAAGCGGAACTTCCAGAAGGTCTGGAGGTGTGAGGGCATTGCATAACCACAGTGGATAAACTTGAGCCACTGTTTTGTTTGGTACTATGCTGGCTGATGCCTCTGTAGCTTCCTTATGTGAATAAAAGCATATGTTGGATTATGCATTTTTTATCAAAACTTTGCCTGAATTCAATCAAAGGCGGATCAACTTGTTCCATGTCTGAATGTACTCTATGTGGCGCATGTATTCGGCTTTGTTTTAGTCATCAAACGGAACACACATGAAATAGAAGTCTCTTGAACAATTTTGTTAGTTTTCATGACACTGGCCGTGCTTTGCCGTCAGTTACCACTGCCGAATAAGGATATCTATTAACTTGAAGAGTCTGTTACCCAGTTTACACAGATATCACTTCAGAAGACGTTACCTGGTCATGCTATTGTTCAGCACAACAGACGTAGCAGACGTGCGATTACCAAAATCCTCACAGCAGCTGCACAGATTTGGCAACTCTTGAGCATTTTTTTGCCACTCAGTTTTTTCTGTGTATTGGGCAAATTTTGAGTGTCTAATTCATTGATGTTCCATAAGTGTACACCATGTGCAAGACAGTCACAAAAGTTCATGGCCACCCGTACAGCCCGGAGGTAGAAAAATTCAAAGGTAGTGTGACAAGCCATGTCCAGTTCCAGTAATTTGTCCCATTTGATGCCATAGTCTTTAAGCCATCAGTTCCTTCTTAAATTGTGATTTTTGTCCCATATTTTGACTGACTTTCTAATGCTACATTCAAGATTTTTAACCAAAACCATACACAAGGTAACATATACAATGTGGTGATTAGTTCCTGCCTGTTATGCACATTTTTCTCATTCATTCATACAATCACAGCAATAAGGAGCCAAATGGTAGTTTTGAATTCAGGCTGTGTGACAGAAGTGAGTTTTCAGACAGTTCACTTTGTTCATTGCTTGGTATGCACACACATGGTATTGCTAAACGGTCAAATTTGAACGTCAGTGTATGAATAGGCTGTGTATGCTGCATACAAGTTTGCAATGAAGCCTACACAGCACTCTACTGCAGGGACAGCTTCACAATGACTTGCAATGAGTGAAGGTCATAAATCTCTAAATGCAATGATGTGACTATAAATGGCAAAAGTCTGTGGGAACACCATGTGAAATCGATCTTTTCTGTAAGAGTGGTGGTTCAGAGAAGAACCGGTGAGTGTAAACTCGATGTTTTGATCAGGGTGCTCTGGTTGTCCTCTGAAGAGATGCTGGTGATTGATGGAAAAATGGAATTCTGGACATTAAAAATAAATGGAAACCCTGATACAACCAGAAAAGAGGCATCTCTGCCTAATGTATAAAAAACATAAATCTTAAGACTTACTTTTTCCCTTCGTAAACAATGACTGGTTCAGCATCCAAGAAAGGAATACATTTGACTTCAAGCAGGGCGTGGTAGAGCGGATGAGTAATGAAGTCACCAACCCACTTGGCCATCATTATTGCCACCATTATAGGAAGTAAAAACTGAATATCATTTGTTATCTCCATCTGCAAATGAATAACATAAATGGTTGGCATCTAACTTTTTCTCTACAAATTCGTCTGAAGGATACCAAGCAACAACCCCTGTAATAAGAAAAGAGTCTAAGCTAAATGCCTTACATGTAACTGGTGTTATACAGGTTCTACAATGGCTTCTCAAACTACAACTCATTGGAATTGTTTTGCAAAACTGGCAAGTACATGCCTTCTGACATGAACACTTTAAAAATCAACCACTTGATTGAAACACTTCCCGTGAGAACTGAAAAAAATATCGCCCCCCCAACAAAACACAAGCTTCCATTTTGTAGCACTCCTGGACATGTGCAGCCTGCTGAACTGGTTACCTGGACGGCGACCTGTCACCACATCCCTTCTGATTGGCTGAAGGCACCCAGCAAGAAGTGCAACTTTAGCCTTTGTCTGCTTTAGTTGGTGTCTCAAGCAATGGCAGCGGAAAGGGGACACTGCCCCCCACACACATTTTGGACTGAGGGCCTGCCCCTCTCTTCCCCCCCCCCCTTTTTGCAGGCCATATAATTGGGTGGGGCTCCATGGATTGAGCTATTAATGGCTGATGCCTTATGGTTTAACAACTGGCCCCCCACTTCGAAAATCGTTCCGTCACCAGTAGTTTCAAGCCACTCCTTGATGTGCACCAAGCAAATACATGCAAACACCATCTTTCTGGTTCTATATGCATCATACATGAGTGTGCATCACCTTTGCTAATTTATGCTAATTTCATTTCATTTCTATTTCTCACATTTCAGCTATACTTGATTGCATTTATTTGACTGTTATTATGAGGATTGCTATTTTATTGTTTCCCAAGGCAAAGTGATTCCTGATTAACACTTCTGGCTTGAAAGAAACTGAGCAACTCAAGAATCATAGAACTTTGGTGTTTCTCTGAAACTCCCGAAATGTTTGCTTCAGTAGAATGTGTAATTTAATACTTATTCTTCACGATTGGGAATTGGGAATCTACTGTTCCCTATAGCCACTTTTCTGATAAAACTTTGTAGACTTGGACCATGCATCTGAAGTCGTAATCTTGTACATAAATGTGGCTATGGAACCCAATACTTCAGTACACTGGACAGGAAATGGCCCTAGGATCAGTCATCCATTCCCGGGATATTTGAACAATAGCATAGGGGATGCTGAACACCCTGTACGACCACCACACCTCCATCTCCATGGAGGAAGACCAGTCTACAACTTCTGCTTTACAGATGACATTGACCTCACGGGCGGCTCAAACCAATCTCCCTAAACAACACCAGAGCTAGCATCACAATGAACTATAATTATTTAACCACTTCGTGCCGGGGTTTGTATAAATGTTGATTCCGCTTGGCCAGGATATTTTTCATTTTCTTCAATTTTCAAAATTTTTTTTTTTTAATTCATATCTTCATTTACAGGACACTTACACCCACACGGATTGTATGGTGGCTACTCTAGTCTGACAGACAACATCTATTGACGCTGGAGTATTTCAGCCAGGCCTGCTGCCTTGTAAAACAAGCCCAGATTGTGCAGTGTTACATATTTTTCTTTTGTTCACGAAACTGGCACAGTGCGCTGCTGACGGCTTTTGAACAGGGGCCAGATTAGCATGCAGCGGTGCTGTGTGGCTCATCGCTGTGGTGGTGGAGCGCCTTTGTCCCCAGTAGTAATCCGCTTGCACTGAATGCCACAAACTGTGGTATACTGTTTCAAAAAAGGCTGGATTATCTCCACTATTGACAGTGAAAAAATGCTGGTAATTCCCAGCAGGATGGTCTTTTGTTACGAGTATGTTCTTTTGTTACAGGGCCCAGTTCCCAGTTATAAGGAGAAAACTGTTTCCAGACACCCAAGCACACTTATTTGACATTGAAAGGCAGACATATGCAAAAGTTGTGTGGCTTCTGAAAAAGGCCATAATGGGCAACATTACAAATCCAAAAAGATCCTAAATCCCAACCAGAGAGCACTGAGAACCTTTGCCATAAAGGAGAAGTGCAGTAGCCCAGAGCAGTCACTTAGAAAAATAAGGGAGCAACAGATGAGGCTGACTGAATTTCAGTTTGGAAAGTATGCCTAAGTGAAGCAGTGAAGAATGAATTGCACATGGCACAGGGAGCAACTAGCCTAATAGTTTAATTGTACATCACTCATTTTGGTAAATTCAACAAACATTTAAGAAATTTTCAAATAAATAATTAAGCCACTAAAAATCTTCTGCAGTGAGGCAAGTTAGCCTGTCTATACTTAAGTGGTTAATTTTGGGTGACTTTCCCTTCGTTGATTAATTAGTTGGAACCCCTGATTTTATACTGGCAGGGTCCTGCTGGGATTTCATTACAGTGTGACTTGAACAACTGAAGGGGTTGTGCCATTTCATCAAAGTCATCCATATCAAAGGCTGACAACTGATCCAGAAAAACAGCTGCTATGACTCTGCTATTGTGCAAAGATTGAAGGATATGGCCTGATAGAAGGGTGAGAAGAGCTTCAACAGTGTATCAGTGAAAAGCAAACTGTCATACATCAAGAAGGGATACTGTTTATAGAACATGGTAGAGAAGTTAGAGACAAGAAATTACTTACACAAATTTGGTTGAAATTTGGTTCTTCAACAGAAGTAGAATTAGGGCTGCTTTACGGGTTACTGGTACAACCCCATATTTCACACTGTGATTGTGGCAAGTGCAATAAATGGGATCGACATAATCCTTGAGCAGTGCTATTGGGAGTGGGTCCCATTCGCATGATTTTTATGGTGTCTGACAAAATATGGCACAGACATTCCTCTTGACCACCAGAGTTCAACTATGTTAAGAAAGTGTCAACCATCAAAAGAAATGAAAAGTCATATATGACAATAACAATTTTCCATCAGGTTATACACCTACCATTATAACTGTAAGAGACATTGTCAGTCTAGACACACCTCCAAAAAAGGAAGCAGCGCCGATTAAAGCAAAAGCCCCAGGGTCCATCCAAGCCCAGTATTCATCAGACTTCACCCCAAACATAGAGACTAAGAGCATACCAATGATCCGTCCATACAGAGCTCCAATGAATCTATTGAGAAAAAATATAAATAAAATATAAGCAGAGAATTATGGATCAAGTCCTATCCCAGCAAAGCTCACCATTTTGTCCCAACAAGCTCTCAGAAAGTACTGACCATAAAGTGGTAGGTAAATATGCTGGCAAAGAGATGACCAAATATTTAAGTACACCAGAAGACCCAATTATCCTTCAAAAAGTCAACTGTTTACATGTATCGTCACAGTTTTCACAAACAGACGAAAGTCTCACCGCAAAGTAAAACTTAGGTTTTGACAAAATGGCATTTGAAGTTGGTCTCTTTTACAAACTCTTATTTTTCCTGAATTGTCTGTTTGAGAAAACCCAAAAATTTGTGTGACTTTTTGACTCTGCATGAAAACGGCACGCATGGTTTTGCCATAGCGCGTGCCAGGTGCAAAATTGTTACATTTGTGTACATTTCCGGAGTCAGATTTGTCTCTTTGTGAAAACTGCAGAACTTTTGCCCTTTTTTCCCCAACATTATATCTATGGAAAACAAATTTGTCTCTTCGTGAAAACTCAAAAGCAGTTTAGTTGAATTTTGCCCCATAGATATCATCGTGACTTGGCTGATTTCAGTAGATTTGGAAAAAAATGATAACACCGAGTTGTGGGCATCACATAGCCTAGTTAAAAGTGACAATATGTTTATAAAGCTTTGGAAGAGCCATCTGAGGTGTCAAGGTCCTGACATAAAGGATGATATTTTAAAAGCAACATGTCAACATCCTGAGATAAATTACCACGGGAATAAATATATACTTGGTCGGTCATAAACATTGAGACCAGTTAAGGAGAATGAATGCTGATAATGCCCGAGCTGCAGGTGAGGGGGAGCCACGATTGTACATTTAAGAGCTGATTACATATTTATTTCATTCATAAATACTCGATTGAGTCAAAAGTCGAAACAAATTTCAAATTATAAATCTCTAATGACTCATTCAACAGTTTTATTTTTTTTCAATACCTCTCTAACCATTTTATGGTATGTTCTTCATACACAATTGCCATATACGGAGAAAGACACGCTTGTGGTAAGAACGGACGTGTATAATAAAATCTGGACTCGCAATGCCCTTAACCCACCTATGCTGAAGTCACTCTTTGGGTCACTTGGTAAACACCTCAAAGAAGCACAGCTGTGTGTTGTGCACTGCACCAACATGCAAGAGAGTGACCTTGGGCACTTTTGCATATTTGTGCAGGAAAACTAAAGGAGGGTTAATCAGCTTATAGAGATCATTGAATCCACTCGCGGTCATTTTACCGAGCCGAATACAATGCTTTCCTGGCAATGTCCGCATATGTTCTTCCTGACGTCAACAGATAGGAGCAAACCCACGTATTTGTATTCGGCTCGTTAAAATGGCCGCTGTATGGCTTCTTTTTCATAGGCGTTACAAGTCCAGGTGTTTTATATAGGTCGTGTTGATAAGTACTACGTGATGTGATACAGAACGGGATGGGTCCACTGCAATGGCAAGGGGCACTAAATCAGCATCCATTCTCAGGCGCAAATGTTAAACAAATGTTAAAGATCGGCCAAGCACATATTTATTCCCATTTATAAATACCTTAGGAATAAGAAAAGTAAAACAATTTTAAAAAGTTATAAATATCCAATAGTTTTTGTTCACCAATTTTACTTCTATCTTTTTCAAGCACTCCTCTAGTCATGTTATGGTATCTACTGCTATGAACCAGTGCTTAATTAAAGGAATAAATATGTGCTTGGCTGGTCTTAAATGTGCATTTAAGACTGGCTCAGGAGAATGGACATGAAAATGCCCAAACTACAGGCAAAGGCATTACCAGGATTCATTCTCCTGAGCTGGATCATTAAACATTAGTTTAAGGCCAGCCGAGCACAAATTTATTCCAATTCATTGAATACCTGAGAGTCATAAGAAATCAATATATGATAGATCTCCAATGATTTCACTTTCATTTTTCTGAACACCCCCGTCCATTTTATGGTATATTCCCTGTGCAAGTTGTCCAGAAGAATCTCCACATATGGACTTGGCGTGCACATGGCGTATTCTGCGTGCCATGTCGCATGCAGACTCTTGGCCATAGGGATGGATTAAACTGTCTTGTATCCAGTGCCAGAGCATCTTTTTAACCCCTTCACGCCTGAAGACGGCAACAGTCGTGCCTGGAGAAAAGTCTAATTACCGGGAGACTGCTGTAGCAGCATACCACGCATGCAACTTTTATTCAGTGTACAGCTGTAATTACTAGAACCTTTGCATTGAATGGAAATCTGGGACAACTTGGAGAGTTGGTTGATTTCCTGATACTCAGTAAATGGGATCTTTTTCATCAGAACACCCCATTGTCTTTGATTGAATACCCTGGGTAATCTCTGTGGAGCGTCGCTCGAAGCCACAGTCACAGCTTACGCAATGCGTTCTGTGTGCTTGGAGCGTGATGAATACAGGCCATTGACATGGTGTGCGTGCCACTGTTTACGGCCCTGCTGGGCTGGGAGCACGTGGGCAGCACCCCAGCACAATGAACTCGGGATATAGATGGGCCATTGTTCAGCGTAATTGGGCATTTGTTTCGTCGAAAAGCAGCGTTTTCTGTAGTGCTGGGTATATATTTGCCTGGCCGCTTCAGTTGCATTACACGATGTCTTCAAGTGAAGAGGAAACTTTGATGGTGACTAGTGGTTCAGATTTTATCTCGGAATCTGAACATAATTCAGAAATTGAAACTAGTGACAGCAATTCTAACAGGCAACCACCGTTAGCAAGGCCTGCCAAGAAGGTCGAGACTTCTTCATCGATTCAATGGATGGCTGATGACAACTTCCCCTGTCGACATGGCTTTCAAGGCACAGCAGTTTTCAAGTGCAAGAACTGGACAAGAACAGCACTCCTCTCGAAATCTTCAAGCAGTTCTTCACCCCAGAACTAGACATTGCACATTGCCAATGAGACCAACCACTATGCCGCTGAACACCTGAAAAGTCAATCGGGAGCAAGTCCAAATCACATGCAAAGCTGGTTCGACACAACACTACACGAGATGTTAATGTTCCGGTCCATGACCATCGTCATGGTACTGATGCCAAAACCCGACTTGAAGTCCTACTGGATGAGAGACTCAATACTTGATACTCTATTTTTTTCCAAATAATATGCCACGCGACAGATTTGTGGACTTGCTATCTGCATTTTGTCGATAACAGCTATGCAGATACAACCGATCGACTCTACAAGCTCTGCCCGGTGGTAAACGAACTGACCA